AATGGCGTCTTGTTAAGCATACCTGTTTATATAGAAAACCCTGTGCTGAACATACTATATTCCAATATTCAAAGTTTTTACACAAGGGATCATATGGCATGAATGGGTGACCTTCTTCTAGAGTTAACGTGTCTAATTCCCTTACATATTTAATTGGTTTAATTGAAATACTTTTGGAACTAAACGTTCTAAAATCTTTTGTTCCCATAAACATTTGTGTCGCACGTTTTATTCTCTCAGTATCAAAAACTGTTGGCCTTTAAGAGATGCATACAATAATTATAATAATTCAACACAGTATACAATAAAGCGGATTACATGTTGTTCTGATACGATACCTGATATGATTACAATACTGCACTTCTGATACAGGAATTCTATGATCGTTTAAATCCTTAGCCCTTAAAATTCTGTAAATATATTTCCTGGATTTTGCAAGTCGCCTTGAATTAAAGTCATTTGTCACAGGAACGAATTCTAGTATCCTGAAAACAATGTATTCATAATGTAATCAAGTTAAAAAGTAATTATAAATGTAAATACATTTAATTACCTAATATTATGATTGCTCTGATTAAAAAATCGGTTTACACTACTGAGAGCGTAAGTGGGTTCATAAAAACAATCATCGATATTTTCTATGTCAATATGAGCTGCATTAGATAAGCCATGCACACCGCAATCTGTCCTATAAATTTCATTTTATTCAAAATATACCTAAAATATTTTAGCATTGTTAATCATACTATAAAACAATTGAAGGTATTCACCTGCTAGAAGAGGTAAATTTTGGCCATTTTATACATTTAGGAATCAAGGTTGAAAACGCAGCTTCGATAGCTCCTTGAATTGTATCTGTGTCAAGCATTAGAACATTTTGAGTCGGAATTGCATTCTTTTGCAAGCCTCTAAACATACACGAAAAACAAATTTTAGAAACACGACTTGTCGACTCAGAATTAACACGCTGTTGAACAGAAATAATTTAGATTCTAAATTTTGTTCTTTGCATTGTACGTGACACGAGCGAATGTATATGTTTCTCTTTACAGAAACAATAAAAAATTACGAGATCAGTAAACAGGTTAACTGAAAGCACGTGTACCTGTAGTTCGTGCCTAGATAGGAAAATTTTATGAAATATCTCCTCATCTTTTCCTGGTTCAGAAAATGTGTCGCTAATTGTTCAATCTGCAAACAGCTGTAATTAATAACTATATTTTCAAGTGATGAACTTTAGTCGAAGTAAGTGATTACAGCAAACTGCAACTTAGCGGCACCAGCGGCCACACCGTGTGAGCGTGTGATTGTAATGGCACACCCTGTA